AGTGCATGTGACAGGAGGAAAAGAAAAGAAAGAAGCGGAAAAAGTGACATAGATCACATGAATGATAGATGCTTGAATCTTAAATGGAGCAGTTGGGTTTGCTTTTAGGTCTTCTTGGAATCCAAATTCAGAATGTGGTTTTGAATTCTGAAAGAGCTTTTTCTTTGAAATATATGTGCAGCGAAGCCGCGAAGGAGAAGAGAAAAGGGAGAGGATATTCTTGAGTCCCTATTTGTGGTAGTAGGGAGTGCCCTTTTGCCATATACGAGTCTGCTGCTCTGAAATGCATGTGAGGTGACGTATGTTTGCCTGGTTAAATGGGTAAATCCCGACAACTTACGTGGCCATGATTCACTGGATAATTAATTTTGATGTTGACAGGACAGTAAAAAGTGTCTGTGGTATTTTACTCATAAATAATAATAATAATAATCTTATATTGCAGTTTCAAATGCTGTTTCAAAGTATTTTTCCATTGATCGATGATTTTATGGATGTCAAGACTATGGAAAAAATATTCCAAAAACCATCTAAATATAATATTTTTTCAGCTGAAAATTATTATTGTTTTGTTAAATAACACTTGTAATTGTGCTACCAAACAAATTCTAAAAAGATAAATATAGATTAATAGTTACATATTTGATATTTTTTTTCTTTTGATGAAGTAAGTTTGAGTTCTAATGATTTCACTTTATTTACTTTATTTAGTTATTATGCAATGTAATAAAATATGATTATTTTTATTGTATAGTTTAAGGTCCAACAAACGTTCAATAAAAAAGAAAAAGAAAAAGAAAAGCACATTCTAATACGCAAGAGAGTAAAGTCAAATGTGAATCATTACAACTTGCTTGTAATTCAGTTTTTGATGATATATATTACTATTATGATTTAAAAGAGTCACAAGTTTGGACTTCAAATTCTATTAACTAACATAAATATAAATATATAAATGAAAAAAATAATACTAACTCAATTTAGTAACATTATTTTAATCACCAGGCTTTCAGGGTCTACATCCTTATTTTTTTAGACATTAATTTTCAATTTCCAATTTGAAATTAGATAATTTGTATTTGATTAGAAAGGATCCTTCAATTTAATGTGGTCCAATAATACTACTTCATAGTAAAAATGAAAAACCAATAATACTACCTCATAGTTAAAAAAAAAGAAAAAAAGAAAATACAATTTGTCATGATCTTAAACTCGTAACTAAAAAACATGTATTCATAAATTCATCGTTTTGAAAGAAATAAATCTTTGCCTGATATGCTCTTTCTCTTGATTTACTAGCTAGACAACTTGAAAAATATTAAATTAACACATATTTAAAAGTAAAATAAAAATAAAAATGGAACCAATCTCCACTTTCCACTCATTATGATTAGTATGCATTTAAAAAAAAAAAAACACATCACATCAAGCACGAGCGCGCGTGCGGGTGAAAGACTAACAGAGAGGAGACGAGAGAGTCAGCAAAGAAAATTAAACGGGGAAGGTAGTCCATGTGACGAAAAGCACTGCCCCCCGGTAGTTATGGCAGTTAAGTGTCAACAAATGTCATGATAAAACCAGAGAGACACACACACACAAAAGGGTCCCTCACTCATGATCCACTGTTTTTCAAAATTCTCCTTTTACAGGACACTACATCTCTAGAGGTCCTAGACTGGACACCTCATCTGATACATGCCCAACCCAATCATCCCCTTTATGAACCAAGCACTCTAAACGTTAACGGGCACATCATATGCTATGACAATTTCCAGGCCATGGAAATTGGATCACAGTAGCTTTAGCTTTATGGTGTGACTATAACAGATTTTAGTGTTGGATGCCAAATCCCAAATGGTTTTTGTTTCTGCTAGCTTCAAAGTTGTAATTAATATTAACAACAGGTAGCTTCAAACTAGAATAGACCCAAACTCACGTTTCATGACATAATTGGTCTTTAAGAGATATAGCAGTGACATCTTGGACCACCGACCCAAATCTTGAACTGACCATTCAATGACTGATGATAAAATGATAATTACCTCCCTTAATGGTTAAGGTTTCTCAATTTGCATACTTCATAGGACAACATCATCCAGTCGATGTGCTCTTAGATCTGCGGTCACAGCTAAACGTTTTTTTTTAAAAAAAACATATTTAGAGAACCCTAATGCAAGTATAGTATCAGGTGGGGTCCTAAACCAAATCCGATTACCCCGTTGTGAAAGATTAAGTTTATAAAAATATTGAAAGATACTTTCTACACCCTAAAGTTGGCAGTTAGGATTAGGTACATTATTTTTATTAGTTTTTCACTTCAGAGGTGGAATATTAATAAAATATTAAGCCTTGGGACAAAAGCTTTTGCGTAGATTCAAAAGACTTTCACATGCAGACATAGGGTAGGACTGTAAAGAGTGCTGCAAATGAAAATATCTTATCCAAATATATATGAGCCTTTCAGGCTTTCACTATCCGAGTGTCGAAAAAGACCCAGCACTTACTACTGATGGCTACGACACGGCTTGAAGGGAGAGGAACACATGCCTCCTCATTGTTGAGGAATCTACAATCTTCACGTAGAGGAAAAATATAAACGACAGAGGCCAATTAACTGGATAATTTCCCCGAAAAGATAAAGATGGATGGAAAGAAAATTCTGGATGTTTTTCGATGACATCAAGCTATTTGGTCAGCTTCACGGGAAGGATTATTGTGACGCAAATTGTTTATAACGCACATTGCAGAAATTTTTGGTATACCAGTTTTTCACGCTTTGTTTTTCCTATAACTGGCAAACATAAATAGTTCCAAACACCTGAAGCTGTGTTTCTTGCGCGAAAGTCGCCATGTGAATATTCGGTCAAGATACATTAATATTATAATAAAGCCAGAAGGTATAAAGATGTTTTATGTGGTAGATAATGAGATTCTCGGGAAGATCTTGATGATCATGCATGTTCTGGTGATGACAAATTTAGTCATTGCATGTTACACACGACTTAGCAAGCTAGACTTTTCAGGTCTATTAATTCACTCTCTCGTATTATTCCTTTTCATTTTCCTTTTGCTGGATGCCTAGGGTGCAGATTTCTTGTCAAATTTGCCTTTTTCTTTAACCCAAAACCTGGCCCCCACATAACAAAACAAAGTCGTTGCCGAAGAATGAATGACCTGCATGGTTGAAGGCTATTGGCCATCTGGAAGTTCAGCGTTCTAACGTATCCTTGCGTTGAATGTGGATATTCAAACCATTTAGCCCAGACCGGCACCAGGAATGCATGCGTAGCCTGAAGTCAAATCATGAAAAGAATAGATGATATGCCGAAATTCTGCTGAATGACCCAAAACAGTTGAAATAAGCTTAAACATATGCCCATTATATACGGCATAGAAACATCTGAGATTGCATAGACCACCCAAGACCGAGGTTAATATATATACCAAGTCAACCGATCATGGCTTTATGAAGTCCAACAGGCGCTCTGGCTGCGTGGGTTCGAGAAATAAGGCTCAAGCTTTTAGCAATAAAGCATGTAACCTATCAACCTTGTAGCCCAATGGGTATAGGGATTGGAGTTATTGTAAGCCTACAGTGCAAATTTATAGAGTTAACATGGGCAGAGTTAAGCTCCCTACGAAGTGTAGCTTTGTCTCCAATGCCACTGTGCAATCATTAACAGTATCATCCTACGGGAAAAGGAATTTTTTTTTAGGGCTGCTAGCATAATAATTGCTCTTTGTCGCATATAAGTCTATATAATAATAATTATTATTTTAATTATTAAAAATTTACGAGTAAAATAAAAATTAGTTAATAATATTTATTATTACTTTAATTATTAAAAATTTACAAGTAAAATAAAAATTAGTTCACACTAATTGTGAAAATTTGTTTATATATATATATATATATATATATATATATATATATATATATATATATATCATAATTTAGTTTAAATACATCATAGGAATATTTTTTATTCTGATAAAACAATAATTATTTATATTTAGCAAAATCAAATTATATTAGAAGAGTATATAATTTTAGTTAACGAGTCTAAAAAAAAAACAACCATTAATTTTTTTAATATTTAAAATAATTAAAAATTATGGCATAAAATAAAAATTAATTAACAATAATTGTAAGATTTAATTTGATTTAATTTAATTTATATATAATTGAGTTTAAATATATCATAGAAATATTTTTTTTATTTTGATCAATAAAAAAAGAAAAAAGAAAACTTGCAATTTATTATTTACTATTGAAAATTAATTAATGTTATGAATGTTTAATTTCAGTTAATGAGTCTAAAAAATATAAAAAAGAAACCATTAATTATGAAAAAAATTAATTTTTAAAAAATAATAAAAAAGAAAATTTTATTTTGAATAAATAATAATTAATGAATAAAAAAATAAAGAAAAGCACAAAAAAAGGAGAGAGGCTCGGCTGGGCTAACACAAGTCCCATCCGTATGGGCCTGCTGACAACAGGCACACGGAACTGGGCTGAAAGCATAGTCAAGCCATAAAAAATACAGGCACCAACCTGCAATAAATATTTAATTAAGGGAATTTCTTAAATAAAATTATAAATTGAAGGAGCAAAGTGTACAAATGGGACAATTTAACAAAAATGCATATTTTGGGAAAACGGCGTCGTTTCTTTTCTTTTCTTTCTTGTTTTTATAGGGAAACAAGGATGCCATAACAAAGCTCGCTAGAACATCCTCTTGGATATTCAACAAAACTGAACCATATTTTCTCTTTTCTTTCTTGTTTTTATAAAGAAAATAGTATTCAGAGCAGTCCTGTAACAAGTGAAATCATACAATCATTTTTGATATATCCCCACTGTGCAATATAAAATGTTAAAAAATTCCTATTTCTATCTTTGTTCTAGCTCATAAGCTAACCCCATATCCAGAAAAATTCAACGATAGCAGTGCCCATCCCTCGATGGTTCCTGGTAGAATGGATGAAACGGGTGGTTAAGCAGCAAGGGAAATTAATTTGAGAGATGTATAACTAGCATCCAAAACTTGTGGCCAAGGATTCTGAGTAGCAAGTTTAGATGACCTGCATATAACAGTACCACCGTGAGAAGGACTGTATTGCTGAGGGTATCAATGTGGTTTTCATTCCAATGAGCATCTAATCTGCTTGAGTTTACTGAAATCTAAACGCTTGCTCTTAACTGGCTAACAGCTATCGCTTCAAATTAACTAAAACTAATTTACACAGTTGCTATGTAAATTTGGCAGTAAGGTAATGGCCGAAATCAAGCAGAGACAGAGAAAGGAATCTCTGGATGCTTTTACAACGGATGAAAATCTTTCCATGAGCACCATCCCTCCTTTATAATAAATATATTTTATCCAAAAACTAAACTACAAAGAAACCAGTGCCAAAGTAGCTGTTTAGGTCTGTTTCCTTTGTTTCTAGGATACATGGGAATAATTTCATAAAAGAAAAAAACTAACTTTTATATTGATAGGAAAGCATGCACTGATATGAAGATCTAACGTAAGATGACCTTATATTTATAACAACATTCTGTTACAACTTATACTCCTACTAAGGCATACATAGTCCAAATGTGGGTTGCAGACATTCTATAAATTATAGGGTTATACCTCAAACCTGTAACCTCCTTAACCTTAAAATGGTTTAAAAATCAAGAAGGCCAACAAACAATCTGAAACGGAGCACACCTGTTCTTTGAAAATCAAGATAAATACTGCTTACCTGTTGATTACCAAAACTTGATGAAGAAGATCCACATAAATGCTAGAGTGGAAATGAGAGTCCCTCCTAAAAGACAGGCTCGCATAACTTTTACCCTTTTCCTTGGGTTCAATGATGTGAAGTGGCAGAGAGCTGCCTCCAAAATTGATTCGCCATCCAAAAAATATACCTACAATAATATGTTTTAAAACTGAAAACTTGAGGAGCACCAAGAAGTCTTCCAATCAAAATAGTCTCCAAAGTCCACTTCCTAGAGACAAATCATGATAACATCATGCACACACAACTCACAAGCACAGAAAATTCATCAAAACAAAATTTAAATTGGCAAGAAATTACCGGCAAACTGTTGAGGAGGGCTAGTGTAAGAGAGACATGGAATGTGCACACTAAGCTCTTTTCCAAAGCATTAGGAAGATGTATACTGAAAGCAAATGCCCAACGGGGTTGATATGCCGTTAACCTAACTGAATGTGCCATCGAGATCAGATCACCAACAAAAACAAAAATACCACCACACTTATGTTCTGAAAAGTCTGAAGCTTCAGAAGTTGGAAATGAATTTCTTCCCAGTTGCAAGCATTCTGGAGCATAAGGGCTTACATAGGTGATCTCAACCCATATCAACCCTGGCAGTGGAACAGGGCTTAAGCAGTACTCCTCCTAGAGAAAATGCCAAAAATGAATGCAGTTATGGTTAAAAGTAAATTACCAAATTTTCTTTCAAACTAATGTTAAACAAAGGCAATAAACTTCTTCAATTTTGCACCACACAATGGCCTTTAAGAAAATAAGATATCAAAATAAGAAAATCCTGCTAAAGGTGGAAGAAATTATGGCATTGATTCTCGACCTCAAATGGTTTTGATTCAGGTAATGCTAAAAAATGTCTAATCCACACCTGTGAACATAAGCAACTGCTTCCTTTGGTTTTTTCTGTTGCCCACCCATCACCACATTTATTAAGCTTGACAACATCCTTAGAATTCAAGCACTGCCTACTCTGTCTTCTGTTTAGATCATCTTCAATACTGACATTATCTGATTTGCTTGAATCGAAGCATTGAACGGCCACAAATTCAGTAAGGTTGTCAGGACAGGCAGATTGATTGTCTACAAAAAAGGTCTCGTTGCTTTCTTCTACCACAGAAGTAGGAACACAGTAACCCTTCATTCGATGAACTATTGCAGGACCTTCAAAACTTTTTGAAAGATTTGAACTTCGAAGTGTCTGCTCATTTATTAGAGCAGTTATCTGCACCCAATCTTGCTCATTACGAATTCGTTTGCCATCCAAAGAAACAATTACATCACCAGGAGACAGATAGCCAGACAAAGAAGAGGAAGTAGGTACATCCAAAACCTATTCCAAGTAACATTACAAATGCCACATGTGGAAAGGAAAATTGTTAGCCAGCATATGTATATGTGTACACACACACACACAATTAAATGAGTAAATATGTCTGTGTATCATACCATAGGGCTTTCACCATGTATATAAAAGGGACACAAGATCAAGGGCAGGAGGAATAACACCAGTCCACAAACTGCACAACACTACAGCATATTTTGAGTTATGAAACCATGACATACATGTCAATTCTCGCTATAGCATGACAAGAAACAAAGTGGTCAAATTAAATACGAATTGATTTTGAAATCTTGCAAGGAATGGCCTCAATGGACAATGCTATATCCAGATAAACACAAATAAGTAAATACGATAATATAATGTAAGCATACCACAGCATTGTGCCAAATGCCAGCACAGTACACACGAAGTGCAGTAAATGGTTGTAGCTCCTCAAGCAACTCATAATTCAAAGCAACCAGAGCACCAGGAAACAGTACTGCAACAAAAATAGCAATGTACTCGGTCGGTATCCCCTCACTGCTTCCAGGTGAAAAGGTGCCTACAGTACCAAGCATGAGAATCTAGCCTTCTGCATATTCAGATCTAAACTTAGAGATTCATAAACTTATCCACTTTTACCATCCTTTGTTAATCAGTCACATATGCAAATAAGTGCATGAAACATTTGAGTTCTGATTCCAAGACTAAATAGTTTGTCAGTTTACATCTGTAAATTTTAGTTGTCTGCTTTATTTGCTAACTTTTGGTGGTCAGTCTTCATTGGAATTGTTAATTCAAGTTTGTCAGATTCATCTCCAAATGACAGAATTAGACCTAGTAAATGTAAAAAATAACAACTGCAAAACTATGTTTGTGAATAATTATGAAGAGCAAACACATGAAACACAAAAATGTAAGTGTGCAAGTGATAAAATAAAAGAGAAAAGTGACCTTGCCGCAGCAACGGAATGCCCGAATTCGTGAACTGATACAGAAATCAAAGTAGAAAACAACAAGTATCCAGCATCTGCAACGGATAATCTCAAACCATACACCTACATTCAAGTGAAATAGCTAAGAATCTCAAAAAAAAAAAAAAAAGAGCCAGTTGCTATAATAGTAATCACATTCTACCTGAGGAGAAAACCCAAACAGTAAAGAACTTGAAAGACCGCTACTTCCACTAAAAAGATGCAAAATTTTCCCTAAATCCCAAATAAGAATCTGCAAATTCCCAGCATAAAAAAGATTAAAATTTTGCAGGTCAAGGTGATTGAAGAGCAGAGGATCATCGCGTATAATTGCGTAGCATACCAGAGTGACTCCAAGGAGTGCGGTTAGGCTAAAGCCGACACCGATTGAAAACCAAATTTTTAACCATTTGGAGTGTTTCCGTCCAAGATGATAAAGAGAGGTGTTTAAGGCAGAGATTTTGTAATCGCAGTAGCAGCAAGATATGGTGTTGGACAAAATAGTACGAGGTGGCCGTGTTGGTGATCGTAAAGGGAGTATCGAAGTGCGTATTTGTCCCCTTCCATGCCTTCTCCATCGCCTCTCATCCATCGTCGGTTGTACGAAATACAGCGAATCGTTCCCTCAGCACCTCGTCTTCGGCACTGCTGCTGTTCGAATTCGATTAAGGTTTAAGGAAACTGCTTGAATAGAAATATTTCGGGAGAAACAGCCGCCCAACTACGAGGAAGATTTAGTGTGTTTTAAGCCCATACATGTCTGTGAAGCCGAAAGCCAAAAAAATGAGCTAGAGCTAGCCCATAAAACCATTATCTATTTTATTTTTTAAAGGAAAAAGATCGACTTTGGGCTTCACAGTTTATTTCTTCAAATTAGGAGGCCCAGGATGTTTTGTAATTCCATCAGAATGCATAGATGGACTATTATTCGCTTATATATATATATATATATATATATATATATAAATAAAATAACATAGATTCCTACACATACCAAAAATAACGGTGCCGTTTTCATGAATTGTATAAAGGGCAAAGTCAGGAATATTTACGTAAATAAGGTCACTATTTAGTAATTAGCAGCGTCTTCAAATAACTATAGAAATCGTAATTGGTACAGATTTGTTAGTAAATTGCTAAAATACCCAAATTACCATTAAAAAAAAATCACCTCTAATCGTGTTTGATCACTTTTGAAGCTCAGAAAGAAACTAAATTTAATGTATGGTTGCAGACTAGACTGTGCAGATGGGCCTTTTTCCTTTCAAGTATTCAGCTTAGGCTTAAATCTTATAGCCTATTTGGGCCTGTTAAAAGTTGTGCGTTGCATTGGGCTACCGTGAGAATGGTGAAAACATTATTATGGACAGAAAATGAATAGAATAGAAATAAAGTAGCAGTAACAGAAATAAATAAAAAGGAAGGATTCAGTGGTGAAAGTGCGAGTCAGAGAGAAGAATCCAATCTGCTCTTTGAACACGACCGACAGACAGGACATCCTGGTCTGTTAACTCTGAGGAAGGAAAGAAAGAGAGAAAGAAAAGATCCCAAAGCTCTCTCTGTCATAATCATCATCATCACTTTCACATTCACATCATAGAGAAACAGAAAGTGAAGACAGGCAGCGAGAGAGAGAGAGAGAGAGAGAGACAATTTGAAACAACACAAAGAGCTAAAAGTAGAAATCAATGATTTTGTTGCAGTCCCATTCCAGATTTCTCCTTCAAACTTTGTTAAATCGTGTCCAAAAGTGAGTCTTTCTATCATCTCTCTCTCGCTCCATCTTTATGTACATATCCAAGATATGATTTCTATTTTTTCCAACTGATATATTTTGTTCTTTTTTCTTAATGGGTTGATTTCAGTCTTGACAAAGCAGTTGAATTGGATTACCACTGGGTGGAGTTTGATGATGTTCGTTACCATATTCTGGTGATTTCCAAGATTCCCTTTTTGAGTTTCCTTTCCTTGGTTTTTATTATTTCCTTGGCTTATTTAGATAATATCTTTTCTGGGTTTTTATTCTTGTTTTAGGTGTCAATGAAGAATACAAATGTCTTGCTGTTATCCGTTTCATTACCAATTCCACCTCCAGAAGCTGTTTTCATGGGTGGACTTCCATTTGGAGCCATTGAAGCTATAAAGGCTGCTTATGGTGTGGTTGTGCAAATTCTCGATCCTCCCAGAGATGGCTTTAACCTCACTTTGAAACTCAATTTGGCGAAACTTCCACCTGATGAAGGTTCTACGAGTTCCTTTCCTAAGGTCATTATTTGCTTGCAATGATGTATATGCCATAGCACACTAGCATGTTTGGTAGAATGTAGTGGATCATTTCATCTCCAGACTACATGACATTACATTACGTTTTAGCAGAACACGACACTAGGAGTTGCTTGATAAACACACTCATCTTCTTTGATTGACTTTCTTCTTCAAACGTTCATCGATTGTAGGATTGTGCTTGCTGATATAACTTTTCCTTTTGGTCCGCTCTTAGAACGCCATCTAGTTCATGTTTGAAAACTTTCTGAACGTGATATTGTCAGTGTCAAGGTTGGTTAGAAGGTAATTAATACCCAAAGATCCATTGTCTAAACAGATTAATGAATTAGGAGGAGTATAGTTACGTTTGGAATTTTCCCGGGATTTTTTTTTTTTTTTTTTTTTAAAAAGGATATCCCTTTAATTATTACAAGAAAGTATGTTTAGTGCAAGGGCATTACCTCACGAATCTGAGAATTTAGTTTACTCGGACATTTGATTGGAAGCTAGAACTTTTCTAAAGCTGAATGTGGTTTTACTAGCTCCGGGGAGGAGAATGAGAAAAATATATATAAGCATGCTTTCCAAAGGCTTTCTTTATGTCGTTTGTCTGTAGTTTTATATATAGGGTAGAGTTGTGATATATAAAGGTTTCTCTTTTCATCTGTTAGGAGCACTCTGCAATTCCACCCCTGAAAAGCTGTATGCTCAACTTGTGAAGTTTTAGCAGCCTCTAAGTAAGAGATAGATCTTCTACATTCATTAACTGTACCAAATGTGTTACTGATGGAGGACAGGGGTATTGTCCTGGGACATTTGTGACATCCACTTCAAAGGTCTAAATTCATTATTTTGTCGATCCATTGGAAAGCCTATGTTGTAGCCAAAGAAGCAGTTCTTATTTGATAGGCTCTGGAATATTTATCATAGTTGAATTCTTCCCTTTTCATCTTCTCTTACACATTGCTTTTCCACTTCTTATATCTGATGTTTGATTGTGCTCTCTCTCTCTCTCTATCCTTTATTCCTTATACCAGCCTTTTAATCATTCCTGTGTTTCAAGGGTTCGGGGACTGGGATGGAGGCAGTCTCTGATATTAATTGATATATAACGGGGGAGAGGAGAGGGTTAAACATGAGGATATCACCCCTTCCATATGAGGAATTGTATGATGACCTGAAAAACACAAGAGGAAATCCACCTCTAAATTGATAACCAATCTCAAATTCTCAATTCATCAATAACAAGTGTTTCAAAACATAATATAAGCACACCAAAAATGTCCTATTTAGTAAAATCATAAATAATTTGCTTAAATTATAAATTAGTCTCTCTAGTTTTGCAAAATAAATTAAATTGTCCCTCTTGCTTCAAAAAGCAATTAATTAGTCCCTTGACCAGCGTTGATCATTGTTAATTTAATTATTTTGTTCCAGAAAAGGTCTTTTATTATCATCAATCTTTTCTTCTTCTTTTTTGGTTATTTTTTCCCTTTTCTGTTTATCAAAACAAAAAGGTGAAATAAATTGAAAGGGAATGAAAAGGATTAAGTTACAGATAGATTTAAAAATATAAAAACTAATTAATTAGTTATTGAAACTAAAGGGATTATTTAATTTCTTTTGAAAAATTAGAGGGACTAATTTATAATTTACTCTAAATTATTTGATGAAAGGTTTTGTTCTTGTGTTACATCATTTGATGCGCCCACTTGACCCGAAAATTTGTCAGGATAATAACTATTAGTCTTATACACTGGCAAAAGCTAGTGTGAGCAGCATTGAATCTCTCTAGGTGTCTAATAGGATGAAGTCAACAGCATTGCCATTATGATTATGTGAAGTATATTGTGGACAATTGAATGGCTGCTGCAACTGCTGTTACGAAACCCAACGTGTCATTTGGATGGTGGGACAAGTTTGCACTGCTGTTCTCTTTTTAACCTTGAATTTTAGTTCACTTTGCAATTGCAGGTGGGCTCTATATAGAAACTATGCTATTAAAGTTGAAAGTCAACTGCTCACAGCATTTGAATGTTCCTTTCTGCTCTCGAATGCATTAATTTCTCTCTTTATATTGCAGGATTAATTTTGCTACTTTAGCCGATTCGTGTGTAGATTAGGTTGTGATTAAGTTTCAGTTTTTGGTTCATTCTAATGGCTTTTATTCATGTTGTTCTTAGAAAGTGTACTGTTGATTTTGTGCAGAGCACAGGTATGCTCTCTTGGTAAAGATTGCATCTGTTAGGGAAGTGGTGCTAGGTGCTCCATTAAGAGTAGTTTTAAAACATCTTGCATCAAGGACTGTTGTTCCTGATGTAGATCGGTTTCTGGCCCTCGTGCATCGGCCTAAGGAGTCATTCTTCCTTGTTCCTCAGGTATGAACATAAGTTGGAAGTGTATACATTGCGTTATTTGAACCTTTTTATTTCCCCTCATGCAATTACCTTTATACCTGTAGAGAGGGGGAATATTTTAGGTTGTATCTTGGGGTGCCATGAGGGCAGTCTTTTTCTCTCTTATTCAGTTTTCCTTAATTTATATATCTATTTTTTAATGTTGCAAATGCAGCTGGGATGGTTAAGGCTGTTTTTATTTTATTTTCATATCGTTCAAAACATCTGGCGCTCCCGTTTGCCTTAATTAATGCATGCGTGTACTCCTTATCAAAAGAATTGCTTGCATTGAACGTTGTTTACCTTCTAGGGATGTCATTGTTGGAAATTGTCCTACGCCTTTTTGTCTACTTCCTCTCTCTTCCTCTTCCATTTTTATCTAGCTTGTTTAGATTGTAGTTTATCTTGAAAGATTGATTTACTATTTCAAATTCATCTGGCACTATGTTATTAATAAAAATGTAATTCTGGGTTACTTCATATTGTCTGCTTGTCATAGGACTCATATCTTGCAACATGAGAATAACCATGGATTGAAATTGAACTGATTGAGGAACTTAAATTTTTTATGGCAGCCAGACAAGGTTACTGTGGTGTTTCCTATGAGATTCAAGGACTCCATAGATACCGCTCTTGCTACTTCCTTCCTTCAGGTACACATGTAGACATATTTTACTGATCCAGGTTGCATCTCAAAAATGCATATATGTAGGCAATGGACAATTACTGTCAGTGATATAATTTTTTAGGATATTAATTTTACAAATGCTTATAGTTCTGTTGCTAAGGCTTCTTAGCCCCTCTTCTAGTGTAACCATTCTTAGTTGACTTTTTTCTTTTAACTTTATAAACTTCTGAGTTGCATTCAGGAATTTGTCGATGCTAGGCGTACAGCTGGACTTCATAATGCTCCTACTTGCTTGTGGTCTCCTACCCCCCTCTTGAATTGCAGGAAGCTCCTGCTGAAGCATTGTCTGCAAATGCAGGATTTGTTTCTTTTGGTAATGTCACAAAAATTGTTGTATCTACGTCCCTCCTTTATCATTGTCAGCATAACAAATTGTGCCATACTTAAAACAATGCAGTCATTTTTCCTCGTCATGTGGAAGGCAAAAAGTTGGACCGGACAGTGTGGAATTTATCAACATTTCATGCATATGTTAGCTATCATGTTAAGGTGAGGTTTCTGGCAACTTGCTCCTAACTATTCATTTTCTTGTCTGTGGCTGTTTCACGTACTTTTTAATGCTGAAGAATTTGCTTATTTGGGCTCTATGCATTGCAATATTCATGGCAAAGAAAAGTTTTTATGGCCTTCTTTTCTACCCAAAATGTACGAAAGAAGGGTTTTAGTTGCCTTGCTAACCAAGACTCCAACTTGCAACACTGCTCTCAAATTGTTATTTTGTTTCTCTTAAGTTTCTGTCATACCATGTAGGGATGCAATAATTATTTTCAAAATGAATTTGGATCCAGATTTTAACCGGATTTTGCATTATCAAAGCTAGGATTGTGTGATGATCAGTTAAATGGTTTACTCTGTTAATCAGGAATTCGAAATACTATTATTATGCCTGGCAAGATCTTTTGTGTTCTTTGCACTGAAACTTGATTCTCTCTTTGAACTTGTTTTCTTTTTTCCTTGTTGCTACTGTGCATTTCAGAGTAGTTAGATTCATAAACTCATCATTCAAGCCAATCTAATTTTAGTTTCTGTTGTTGTTTTATAAGAACCTTTGATGTGAATAATAAGATACTGATTTATGGTTGTTGGGCTCCTGCTTCCTTTAATCTGTCACTTAAATATATAATTATTCAATGCACATTCCTCAACAGTGCTCGGAGGGTTTTATGCATACCCGCATGCGAAGACGTGTAGAGTCTCTGATTCAGGTAAAATCTTCATCTTTTGCAGTTGACTCTGCTTGCTCAGTTCTCTCCATGTAGCCTGCCTTGGTGGGAAAATATTTTTTGAAAAATAACCTGAAGAAATTTAGATCTGACAGGAAAAATGGTTCCTTCACCAACCAAATAAATTTTATTGCAGTTTTTCTTGGTTTCTGTGCATTTGATCTTAAATACCATGTTCATCCCTGGGAAGGGTGGAATTGGATTTTGGGATAGGGGATGGCTACTCCATAGATCTCCAGTTGAACCTGAAAAAGAGAGTTTAGGCTTGTTAAGCTGCACCAAACCATCAAGGTCAAGGCTATAAGAGGTCTACATTTGGTGTTGGGAAACAGAGTCGTTGCATTGTTGGTATTGTTTTTCCTAAGTGAAGCCAAGCAACTCACTGACCTCGTCCTGGATTTCACAGGTGCTGTACTTAATGCAGTTTGTTGATCACTCTAGTGTCTATATGCTCTAGGGACAATCTTAACTCATAAAATCCAAAATTAATGCCCCTAGTTGAAATGGCTGTTTGGTTGGTTACAGTGATAGGAACATATTACTTTACTGGCAACTAAGATGAACCCACAGCAATGGCATCAATTAAGCGGAAGGCTAAAACTTACAATTAACTGTTGTCTAAATGACCACAAGAAGCAGTCTAAAGCTTTTTGCTTCACAGTTGAGTCTTTACTGAAATTGCTCTTTTGGACGTTCTCATGTGGGTATCTAAGGATTATGGGGATAGATTAAGATAATTAGGGCCCACGAGTTTCCTTGCTTGGTTTTTGGCTAACATATGTGGTATCACAGGCCTTGGATCGTGCAAAACCAGGTGGAGAGGAGAAAAAGAAATCACCAAATAGCAGATCTTTTAAACGGCTGGTATGTCATCATATTCACCTCCCTTGATGCTTTTAAGAACTTAAAAGTTGATATTTTTGACATTTTCTTTACCGAATTGTAGAGCCTCAAGGAAGCTCGAGCTAATTCAATTTCTTAAATGTGAAAGTCCTGTGGCTTCTATTGAACATATGAAGATGCTTATCAAAGAAGTTGTGAGAATCAGTTCAGGGAGGTTGTTACAAGTGTTTTTATCCTCTTCTAAAAAGAAAAATTAAAAGAAAAAACGAAGAAGAGAGAAAAGCATCGTGTTTAGTTGACAAGTGTACCCTTTTGATTTTTACTGGCTCAAAATATTTTATTTTATTAGATCAATATTTTTTAATCTATTTTAGGGATTTTATCTTTCTCAGAAAGCATAATCTTGTTTAAGCCTTTTGCTGCTTTGCTTCTGTATTTCCTTCAACTTGTTGATGGGATTTTTAGCTAGATATTTTAAACATTTGGTGGTGTTGGAAATTGGCTTTAATTAATATACACGCTTCGAAGACAGGTGCATCATGCATGTAAGGTGTGCCCTTATTAGGCATAAACAGATGCAGATTCAGTCCATCTTTATCATGTCCCTTTCACAGGACCCGCCCTGAACTTGCCATTACTTCAATCCCGAACCTTCTTGCATCTAATGGAAGATTTTGCTGAGCCAGTCATGCATACGTTCCTGCCAAGCATATCAACGATGAAGTGGCATGGCATGATTGGTTAAGTTATTTCTGGATCATTATTCCAAAATACACGGTTGTTTGAACCTATTTCTCAAAGGATATAGGAGGCTCCATCTATGTACATGTGATGTTTTATTTTATTTTTGTTCCAAATCTCTCAATCTTGCTTTCCTTATGCTATATTAAGAAAGCCATGTCGATCTGGAGATGGATTTTCGGGTGTTTTTGATGGTTTCGGTAGGTAATGTGGTGGTACAAACAGTAGTAGGAAAACTCTGAATCTTTCTTTTATAACAATCTCAAACTCTTAGATTGAATTCAGCATGTTTAAATTTAGCTATTTTACTTTCTTTTCTTTTGGATATATGTTTACTCTACGAAGAAAAGAAAAAAGAAAAAAGATCGGCTTCCGTCATTTCCTAGAACAACTCTTAACTACTCCAACTCCAATACCTGGTTAATATTTGTTCCTTATCCTTGTAGAAGAATGTATTATGATATTTGAGCACATGCATTAACCATAAACTTTTTAGAAAATGATTCAAAATCAAAGCATAAAAATGATGTTTACTTGCTTAAAGAATTGAAGCCCTCGAGACTCTCCACAACTGCCCACTGCATGACAGCATTGATGTGAGGTCAACAAACACAAGACATTTAAAAAGGTTGTATATACATGAATATTATTTATTTGCATGAAACATTCGAGTTTGTAGAAAAATATATGGAAATGGTTATGGATTATTTCCAAAATTAGCATCTATTCTCTTCCTTGTATTTCTTGTTGATACTTTGATAAGATAGGAGGATAATACAGTTTCATAACACAAAGAAAAGAATACTGCTGCTTGGATTCTTATTTTATTTCGTCTTCAATTCTATTTTGTCTTATTCAAAATTTTACAACAGCCTTAAGCATTGATACTAGAATACAAAACAGTCCATACATTAATAATTTGGACAAATTAGTCCATAAACTTATTTTTTCCTTTTTTTTTTTCATTTCTTTTTAATATTCTATCACTTATATACATGTGTATCAGGACATCAATATCAAAACCATGGACAGCACCATATATACTTTACCGAGTAATTAGAAAAATACTACTAAATTTGATTATAATTTTTTTTTTTAATGGTTCTACTAACTTGACCTTACTAGAAGTATTAAAAATCTCTAATTAATTGAAAAATTTTAACCTTTTCTTTCTAGTATCTTTTTTTTTTTTTTCAAACGAGTTATTTTTTCATTACGGTCTTGTATTTTTTTTTTTTTTAACAACACAATCATTTAACTGGTATTAAATTCTTTTTCTCCAAGCCCTTCTAATAATTTTATTTCAAATGTAATATAATACAATCTATTTCAATTATAATTTAATAATTTAATTATGAATGTTCTTATTATCTTTTCTATTTATATAACACTAGTCGGTTTCTCGTACTACGTTACAAGCCAAATAAAATATATTTATTTTAGTTTAATAGTTTATATTATGTTGTTAGTCAATTAAAATATATACAATTAAAAATAAAAGAAAAAATTTCATCTAATTTCATAATTTTTAATCAAAATTTTGTATTTAATTTATTTTTCTTTATGTTTTTTCATAAAATTTGTAATTAAAAAAACACGACTCTTATTATTAAAAACTAATCTCTTCAATTTGCTATTTTTTATATAATTTTATTTTTGAATAACTTTTTTTAAAATAAATAATCAATTAAAAATAAAATTTACTTGTTTTATTTGCTTTTTTATACAATTAAAATATATCAAAATTAATTTTATCATTGTTTTTTATTGCGACCAACTAACTTCAATATATTTATCACAACTTAATTTCTTAAGAATATATATATATATATATATATATATATATATATAATAATAAATATTAATATAAAAACTATATTTGAATTATTGGATGGTTCTTCTAAAATATTATTTTAATTATTTTATTTGAAAGAAATTAATTTTAGAATATTAAAAAAATTTAGTTGCAAATGATTGGTGTTATATATGTAGATGTATAATTATTTTTCAATAAAATCAATGATCCCTTTTTTTATACACGCATTATGACATATTCGATTAATTAAAGTGTGCGAGCATAAACCCAAAAATATTTAAAAAAACGTAAGTTTTAAGAAATATATTGAATTTAATAGAATTCAATAAAAATAACTATAAAATTAATTCTAATAAAATTTGATTATTTAAAAAATAAACAAACAAAACACATGAATTTTATTTTTAATTGATTATTTATTTGAAAAAAACTTATTCAAAAATCCATATATAGAGAAAAATAAATTATATTTATTAAAAAATAAAATGATATAAAAAAATTAATTTGATGAGAATTTTCATAAGTAATAATAAATTAAAGAAATCGAGTTTTGAATAATAAAAGTAATATAATCGATATATATATATATATATATATATATATATATATATATATATATATATATATATATATATTCTAAAATTTGAAAATATATCGTATATATTTCATAATTACCAGCTCGAATGAAAAAAAAATTTGATTTCTCATAATTTTCACCCTTAATTCAATCATAAAAAAATTAAAATAAATAGCTAGGAAAAAAAGGGCAAGCATGTATGCTTGGTCTATCTAGAGATCAAAATAGAACACGGTGTCAAATTCGCATGAATCTTAGTGAATAATGCATATAGATCTGAATAAATAGTATTATGAATAATAATTCATCCTAAATTTTTAATTATGATGTCGGTTAGTGCACATGAATAGTAACTAAATGTTTTATTTTTTTTAAATAACTATAATATCAAATTAGTATACATAAGTTTGAGTGAATAGTATAGATGGATCCGAGTAAATAATGACATGAATAGTAATTCATCTAAATTTTTTTTATAATTATAATGTCGGATTATAGATTTAAAGAATCAAACTCCATACCATATATGAACAAAATGTTCTACTTTACGGTTAATTTTATGAGAATCTCTTATGCAAATCCTTAGACCATGGAATGATGGAAACATGAACCGATAAGTTCCACTATTTAGTCATGATTCAACTATTCATTTATGGCGAGATATTATGGTATAGTGTGAGAAAATATTATTCTTAATTAATGAAATTAACGATTTTTATTAGAATCCATAAAGGACATTTTAGCTAGCTAGTCGCTTTAATAACCACGGGAAAACGTTTAAAAGACCAATATCATCGATCAACTCCCCTGCTGCATTTTCCCCACCTCGCACTGAGCCGGTTTTCAAGGTTGAGGATTCACGACCAATCTTGCATAAGCAATAGCTTGGTTGTGCATATTATATGAATTTGAGGCTTTTGGACTAGAAATCTTGTAATAACTCGACTTAAAGATAATATTTAAGTTTAAAAAATGGGTTAGGTGTTAAAATTAAGTTGTACTGTGTGTATTCTTGTGCTAAAAACACGCATAGAAGTGTCACGTTTTTGCACAAGTCGCGTTTAACCCTACCGCCTCGTGACATCTTATGCTAAATACACGTACGGGGCATGTCAAGTTGCTTTTCAAGCCATATTTACCCCTTCGCTAGCATGTCTTCTTTCTTCAATTTGATGTTTCATGTTGTTTCCATTTTATCCTTCATTTGCTTGGATTTGTATGTGGCTTGGCTTGGATTTACTATTATTCATTTCCTATTTTCTTCTTGTAAACCCAAAATTATTACCTTATTCTTGAGTACAAGCAAGCCTAATGAAAGAGGGAACAAGAATTATATAAGATATGTATTGATTGTTTTATCTTTTTAAATTTACCTTTATTGAAATGTGTTAAACTTAAGTCGTGTTTCGTATAGGTTGCTATAATAAGGATTAGGTTAGGTGATCATAAAGGAAGAGGTGTCGAGGCTGAGGCATCATCCAAACCTTCATGGTCTCACGATAGATCTAGAGTTAGGAAAGAAAAAAACCTTAATATGATGTCGCCAGTGATGTCATGGCTAGTTTTCGTGCTATGCAACATATAGTAAAGATAATGGCCGAGGGCATTCATCAAATTTTTTCATGCTATGGTAGGGTTAATGTTTGCCAATCAAGGATCCGATACTTTTACAACTGGTACTCGATCGGGGTTAGTGAGGTTTGACCTTTATATGGTGAAGTTTTTGAGATTAAAGCCACCAACCTATTCCGGTGATAGGGATGATGAAGATCTAATGCATTTTCTATATGAGATAGGAAAGAGGCTAGTAGCGCTTTGGTGTTTTGAGGGGAGAAAGGTTGAACTGACATCATTTATGCTTAAAGGGAGTGATAATGATTGGTGTAAAAAGGATAAGAAACTTGATTAGTCTTAGGAACAATTTAAGAAAGATTTTTTAGGAACAACTACTCGAAAGTATCGGAGAAGAAAGGGCTAAAGAGTTTGAAAGACTAGTGTAAACTTT